GCAGCCGGCATTAGCCTTCCTTCCCGCTAAGAGAATGGGGCGCATGGACCACCGGCTTCCTTGACTTCCACTCCCATCCACGGCTGTGGACCCGGGGGCCCTCCCCACAGCTCCACTGGTTTTCAGACTTCTTCTTCAATGCGTATGTTTTCTGGCCTGATTCATTTTAATTTTTACCAACTATCTGCCCACTAAGGTAGATTTGTGCAGGAATAACTTTCCAGATATTTTCAGCTGCCTTCTTCGGGACTAGATGGCAGCTGGTCAGGACTTGGTCCCCTTGGGTCCCGGGCTGCTTGAACATCTTGAGAGAAGGCAGGGTCCCTCTGGGTCACAAGCAGCTCTGGCGTCTGCTCAGCAGGGAGAGGGTCCTTCAACATTTCTGTGCAAAACTGAGCACGGAGAAAGGTTGCACTCTGCTGACGCCTGGGCCGAGCTTGCCCTGACGGCGGCACGTGCTGCTCTGCTCGGGAAGGTTAGAGGTGTGCCATCAGGCTGTGCGCTGCCTCGGGGACCTGGTGCTGAGGCCGGCCTCCTGCTGCTCTGACTGAGCCTTGAAACTGGGAAATGCCAGAGCCCCTGTGGGGCCTGGGGTGGGGCGTGGAATTCTGCTCTCCCCTTGCTACGCCTGGAGAAGATTTCCAGGCAGGTGAACCAGGCTTCCCACTCCAGGCCTTTCCCGGCTCCTTCCACACCATCTCCTCCATGGCCCATTTTGGAATTTTTATGTTATTATTAAACTACTTAAAATAAAAAACCTCCAGCAAGCTATAGATCAAACCATTCTGAATTTGTGTGTTCAAAGACTGTAATTACTGAACGGATTCAGAAAGCCTCTTGACATCTGGGGGAATAGCTAACTGATTTAGTATTATCTCTTTTTAACAAAAATTGGAGCTCTGTCTTCTCTGTTCTTAAACATTTCAGGTTCTATGGCTCACATAGCTTGAGCAGGGAAGAGGGCCTTCCTCCCACGGAAAGGAAATTTTAAACTTCCACTTATTGTCTTGGAAGTGATGTTAAAATAATCAGTTTAATGGTGTGAGTCACTCTGAACCTGCTTGAGCTGGGATTGCAGGTCTGTTTCCATGTCTCTCATCCCAAGGTCAGATAACAAAGAAATTTATCCTTGGCTGGCATGTCAGTAAGAGAAATTGGCCTTCCTCAGCTGCTACCACCTCCCACCCATTCCCAAAACAAGTCCTAGATGTGCTAATCAGGTATAAGTGCAGAAAGAATAAAGAGTTTAGAAGCACAGAATTTGTCTAGGGGCTCAAATCACAGCGTACTTTTGAGCTACTAATTAATGTCTTCCATTACCAAAGAAGTTAGTTTGCTGTTCTCAAATGTCTACAAATAAAATGAGTTTTGACTTGTTTTTAAAAATAGGTAACAGAAGCCATATAACAGAGGGAGTTAGTTACCAACCTGGGACTCAGTGTCAACTGCCTTAGGAATTTGGAATCAGTGATGCTGAGACATGGCTCCTTCAGCATTTCCGTGAGGACACTGACATACTGGCCATTTAGAATCCACCAATGGAAACTGGAATGTGTCCAGTAGAAACTGCCAGACCTCTTTTGGCTAGGTCCTTCTTTCCATGGAGATGTGATTCATTGGCAGAATGTCTTGTATTCTCCAAATACCATAAGTAAATGTAAATGTAGCAGATCTTTGGTCATTTTATAATCTCATAGTTATCAATGTAATATAGGTATGTTATTCTGAGTTCAACAGTTAAATTCAAGAGGCTATCATCACTGGATTTCAGGATCTTTGCTGAATTGTTTACTTTCCCACTTCCCTGGCTGGCCACTCATATCTTCTGGTGTTTTCTCTTAGGTAATTAATTGGCGTTTCTACACAATGGCTTTGTGTTCATCCAGAGGCCTCAACAATATGGAAATGTTATCTGCTTAAACTGATTAGGGTTTTCAATGCTTGCCTGCTCAGAAACAGCCAAAAGTTAAGCTCTTTTGCTGGATCGTCTGATTTTCTCAACTATTTGAGATAGCAGGAAAGGCACCACATTCCTAGGAGTTGCAGCAAAATGCTCGGAAACGAACCATTTGTATTTTGTGAAAACGGAGTCTGCACAAGAAGTCTTTAAAATATTTTAACTATGGGAGCCCACATTTATGTAAACCTATCATTATATTCTGTGACCCTGCAGTGTCCTAAAAAAAGGAACTTCAAGTTAAACTTGAGAGGTAAGAGATGTGCACCTGGAACAAATAAGTTAAGAGCAAATGATCAGATTGTGGGAGAGATGGTAGAAAAAACACATGGTGTGGTTGTTCTGAGGAGGGAGTGGGTCCTGTGGCTTAGAACCACAAATGCATGGACAGCTTCCTGGTGGAATCACGTCCAGGCACACTCACTAACTCACCAGGCTCGCCTGGGTATAGAGTGGGGTCAACTGTCGCACATGCACCTAAAGACGCATGCTGAATGTAACACCCCTGCTCAGAGAAGACAGCTCTTCTGGCCAGTTGATAAATGCACCATGGAGAAGGTTTTCTAGTTCCTAACATAGTGACCTGAAAGGGCCATGCCCAGGCCATTCTTGGGAGCACAGAGAGCCCTCATTAAGCAGAACTACAGTATTTCTAACGGACAGTGAGGGCTGCATGGGTACTTCCTGACTTCTTGGGATACTGTAACCAGCTGGTACCAGATCCTTGCCAGTGACCTGGGGAAGGCACGTCCTGCTGTTACCAGTTAGAGTGTCTGAATCCCAGCCCTGCCCACATGCTGGGTCTGCACAGCAGTGGGGTAGCCATTGGTTGGCACAGGCTCCGGTGGCGCCCCAAACAGAGAGCCTTGAGAGTGGGACTTCTGCCTTTTTGTCTAAAACCGGTACCTTGTCTGATCTGATAGTAGTCTGACCAGCCTGGGAGTGACTCTATTTCAGGCCCTGGAAATCTGGGAGGAAGGGACACTCTTTACATACAAGTTTTTGCCAACGTGCTTTTCTTTTACTATGGTGGGTGGTGGGGATCTTTGCTGGCCATTTAGCTCCTGTATTTGATGCCATCAGTGGCTACCCCACCCCAGACCTCTATAAACCTGTCCGTCTTCATCTCGGCATTAAATTATAGCCTCTGCTCATACATGACAGATCTTGGTGAGGACTGCAGATTCCTGGCTTTGGAGCAGAGAGCAAGAGACAGAGAGGGGCTGATGTGTATGGAACGTGTACCGTGGGTCAGGCACAGTGCTGAAATTTTTATGCTTATTATTATTATGCCCATTATACAGGTGAAGACCCAGCTAGTCCAGGCTTTCTCAGCTTTGGCACTACTGGCCTGTAGGGCGGGATCCCTGTTTTGTTGCGGGGGCATCCTGTGCCCTGTAGGGTACCTAGCAGCCTCCCTGGCCCCCACCCACCAGATGCCAGAGCACCTCCCTCTCCCAGTTGTGGCAACTACAGTGCCCCCAGCTTTGGCCGAATGTCTCCTGGGGGCAGCAAAGTGAGGGCCTCTGAGCTATCTGGATCTCTAGGGGGTGCAAGAGGCAAGTAGCAGGACTCGAGCCTCAGAAAAGTGCTCATGACTTTCCATTCTGTGCGACAAGATGCCCCTGGCCTGGAGAGGCGACAAGGTGAGCTGGGGTCAGAATGTCCCAGAGCCTCGCTGGAGTCCCTGAGGCCCAAAGCAGACTCCGGGCTGCACAGGCTGCTCCGCTGGCCGCCACCAAGGAAGGCAGAGCTGAGCGTGTGGTGGCGGAGAGATGTCTGGGCGGCCGCAGAGGAGCGGCTCCTCCTTCGCTTCCTGCTCCTGTGCCCCAGGGCCGTCCCCTGGGGCCCCCACTGGTCGTGAATGACCACAGGGGCCGCCTTGTCTGTGACATGGGGCCAGTCTGAGCCCACTCCTCCTGCCGCAGGTTAGGGGAGGCCCAGTGCAAATGGCCAGGGTCCCATGGCCTTTGGGGGTGCTTAGCCACACAGCACCCAGAATAGGAGCTCGAGGGCATGTTGGAGGGCAGGCTGCTTAGGCCTGTGGCAACAGACAAGAGCTTCTCCCTTGGGAAACTGGCCCCCATGGCGCCTTCAGGAAATCCTGGCACGTAATCCGTGCCATGGGAGACTCACCCTCTGGTTAAAGGGAGTGGCCTTTGTTATGTATTGGCCATGTCCCCTGGACGCCCAGGAGGCTAGTGTGGCCATACTGCTCAGCCTTCTGGACACAGAGACAGGGTCAGAACCTGGCCATCAGGTTTGCGTCTGGAAAGGCACATGTCTTTCCTCCCACAGGCTCCTGGGAGTTGTGTGGGATGATTAGTCAGTTCACATGCCTTTCTTAGTCATGCTAGGTGCTTTTAGAGATACAAAATAAGCATGTTTAGGGTCTTTCTCTCAAGGACATGCTAAATAAGAGAAAAGTATGTGCAAAGAATGCTGTAAATCTAATCATATGTAAACACAAGAGGAGAGGCTGTTTTCCAGTCCTCCCAGTCCTGCCATTTTACATCGATCGCTTCCCATTAGCCTCTATTGCCGGAGACACTGACGGCCTCTTGGTTAGCTGTTGAGGCACTAACTAGCTCGGCACATCTTCATGTTCTCATCATTTTCATGCTGCACTGCAACCCTATAGGTCAGCTACTTATTCCCTTTTCATTCCTCGTTATTCTTGGTGTCTGAGTAGAATACACATGAGACCTCAAGGATTATTAAAGGACAAGATTATCTTTCTATTATTTTTGATGAGGATATTGAAAATTCCTTTCCCATGAATTATATTAACCATTGTTCTCAATGTTAAAGATGTCATATTTCTACCTAGGGATTTAGTTTTTTTCTCAAGTAAATCAAAGAAAATATTTTTTGTGTGAACTCTTTGGAACTTTGGATAAATTAACTGATTTGAACTAATAATAATGAATTGTTAATAGTAACAGTAATTTATTTATTAAGCATTCACTCATGCACTGCACCACATTTGAATTAGTGAGAAGTTAACAATCCAGTATGTTTAAAAAGGAATTCTGTTTTCTTATTTCTAAGATGTGACATATATAAAGTCAAAATGCAGAAAGCAGTGCTACTTTCTATAAAATACAAGGAGGTTTATTCAATAATATTGATTTTTTTGGCATATCTGAAATTACTTCTAGTATTCCTGAGACTAATTAGCTGTCTTTATTTTTATAAGTGTTTCGAGCATTCCCCAAAGCCAGTAGTGTCTGGTTCAGTCTTTCCAAAAACATGATCCTCAGGCCATCTTGAGGATGTTGATTAATGTTTCCTTTGGGACAGAATGTGGTAGAGTTTTCCAAGGACAAACAAGTCTGGAGAACACAGAGTTACGGTTGGATGGATGTTTGTTATTTCCACTCTAGGACATCTTAGAACCTTTAATAAGCTTCTGAACCTTCAAGGAGGAGCATATCATTTATAGTTCCCCAAAACTGTTTGATCACAGACCCCTTTTATTTCTCACATCAGGAGCAGCCTTTAGGAAGGAACATTTTTTTGAATAGAAGCCTTGATTCTGTGTGAGTTCCACCATCTGCTAGCTGAGTAGGTTTCAGCACTCCATTTTGACCAAGTTGTCCCAAGAAAAAGGGAATTGGCCTTTGACCTGCAGTTCCCCTGCCTTGCTGAAAGGATCAAGTCAAAGGCACGGACCTAAAAACCGCTTAGGAAAATTAGAAAGTCTTATATGTATATGTCGTTTCAGGCGTAGCTAGGTCTCGACCTGATAGAGAGGAAGGAACAGTCAGTCTGCTTGTGGGTCTGGGTCTGGGTGGACTCGAGACTCGAAGATGGAGGCATGTGCTGTCCAGCTGACGTCCACTCGCAGTGAGGGCCAGAAGCCCAGACAGGCCCGCCTGCCCCTCCTGTGGCAGAAGCCCCCCCAGGACCGGAACTGCAGAGAGCCCAAACTGGCTGTAGGTTTAGGATGCTCTGCTGGAGGGAGATGACACGTCCTCACTTGGGAGGTCGGGAATATCGTCCAATTTCTAGTCAACATTGTGGTACCATTCATTTCCAGAATCTGTCTCCCTTCAAATATAAGGGGACCCACCTCCCCTCCAGGTTCTCTAATGGTCCAGGTGCTGTCAGCTGCTTTTCCTGACACACGTACCATTGCAAGCCTTGTCCAAACATTCTCTTCCCCAGCCAGCTTCCCTTGTTCTAGGTATTTTTAAATGGGAACCTCTGAGAAATGCTACTTTATTTTTGCCATATAATGGATTCCAACACACCACATATCTGCTTTAGTCACTTTGGGGGCCACTGGTGTTCACTGCAGGGCCCCGAAGGTATGTCCTTTCTCCTCCCACTAGCTGGCTGTGTGGGTTAAAACACACAGTTTTCCTTTTCCATGTTTTTTCTGCTGTCTTTAATGCCAAGATTTTTTCCAGATGTCTCCTATTTCCTATTTCCACATATTGCGCATGAATCACCATCTGGCAGAGTCCTCGTGAGAATCAGTCCGGGTTCCCACATTCACCTACTTTTGTCTTTTTAATAGTTTTTTGAAAACAAAGGATTAAAAAGTAAGCTTGAATCCAAGGGTAAATTTCAGCAGTACACCAAAGGGGAGCCACGAAAACCGGATCCGTGTCCGCTGGGTTTGGCCTGCTCCTCACACAGGCCCGCCACGGGCGCCTCACCTAGGCTGTGAGTCAGGCCCACACTCTGTCAGTCCACGGCAGGGGTGGGGGCGAGGCCCCAAGTCTGGGCTCCTGCTCACCTTCCCATTTCCCTCCACCAGCTCACATCTGCCCCCTCGCCATGTGCTTCTGAAGCAAATCGAATGTGTGATAGCACTTGTTTTACACTCATGAAAACCTACGTTTTTTTATTTGCAGTTTTGTTTGGAACATAGCTGCTCCAGGGCAGCTTTAAAAATAACGAGTTGGCTTTGTCTCCATGTTTAGAAGTAGTAGAACGTGCGATATCTTGAGTGGAATCGCGTGTGTCCTGTGACTCTTAAGGCCCAGGCATCTCACGTGGCTGCTCACTGTCTTCAGGGATGCTGGGCCTCAGGTCCTTATCTTGGCTTTTAATGGAAGAAATTATTAAAAAAAAAAAATGATCCTGAGAAGACTGTGGCTGGCAGGAACATAGCTTTCTTTTAAAAGGAGCAAAATGAGACTGTATGTTTTAATTCAAGATCAAAGGTGTAATAGGAAACAAATCCTGACAGACCAAAACTGTGCGGTTGGATTTTCCTCCTGTTTGTTGGTAGAATATCATAAGCATTCAGAATATGTTTCCGGACAGCACGTAATGATGCAAAATAATCATGTAGTGCGGGTATGGAGCCCTGTCCCACAAAAGGACATTAGCAGAACTGTCGCCCTTGAGAAGCCGTCTGCACGGTGTGCAGACAGGAAGCTGAGTCAGAGGAAACGAGCAGGCCGGAAACCTGGGGAAGGGGTGCCCTTTGTCTTTTCTTGCGTGTGGCAAATCCATTAGAAATGTGAGCGGTGCCCGTGAGCGTGCGTGCCCCTGCAGTTTACCATGAGTCTGATGACAGTGTGACACTTACCTGGCTCCCAATTCAGTCGACAGCACTTCTTGGCCCAATCCTGGGATGCTGTCCTGACATCCATGGGGGTTCTCCTTTACTGGTGTGAGCTTTGTGCCAACCTAGGTTTGTGCACCGGCCTGCAAAGGGGAAAGGTAATGAGTGACAGATGTGACTCTCTTACCCTGTGGGAGCCTGAGGGTTTGTCTGGAGAACTTTTTATAGATGCCCCGTTGTAGCCTGCGGGGGCCGCACAGGAGTGTGCGGACGCTGGGTGGGAAGTCCACGGCGCCCTGTGGGTGTGACTCCTGGGACCTTGAGCACCTGGCTGAATGCTTGAAATGTTTTCCCCTAGAAGATGTATAAGGAGTTCAGTGCCCCCATAGTAGGTCTCGTGGGGTGCAGCGCCTGCCCCTCACTCCCCTCCTCCCGCAGCGGCGGTGTGCCCGTGGGCTTGGGCAGGTGAGCAAGTGGGCTGACCCCCGTCCCCGAGGCTCTTACCGTCTCAGGCAGAGGGAAACGTTAGACCGGCCGTGGCCCCCGCAGAACAGATTGCCTGCCCTGCCACCTGCTCCAAGGGAGGAAGGGGCAGCACTGAGGGGCGGAGGCCTGCGGGGCCCGGAGCTGAGTGGGGGTCGCCGGGGGAGGCAGAGCTTGCGTCTTGCTAGCAGGCAGCCCGCTCAGGGCCTGTGATTCGGGTCCTGCCCTTTGTTTCCCTATTTGTCACCTTTGCCCTGGTTTTTGGCGGGGGGAGATGGGATATTTTGGGAAACTGCCATGACAGCTGTGTCCCCTGACCCCTGACTAGTCTTCACTTCCACATACGAGACTCCAAACCATTAAAGGGCATCTTTTCATGGCAGGAAGTTGTTTGGCAAGAAGCAGACGTGTTTCTGGGAGCCTCGGGGTTCCTGCTTCCTCGCTTGGGGCTCTTCTCTGCAGCCTGGTTGCGGTTCTGTGGGCCCGGGTGGGGGGCGGCCACGTGAGCCTGTCGCCAGGCTGTGCCTGGCCCAGGAGCCAGGGTGACATGCTTCCCTGTATGTCGGGACTTAGCCCGTTTCCTCCCGATTGTCAGCCTTGCGCCCCCGCCGCTGCAGAGGCCCTCCCGGCCCCGTGATGTGGGTGGCGGTGCCGGGTTCTGCCTCTCCCCGATAAGGAGCCGGAGCCCTGGGGGTTTGGTGTCTTGGTCCAAACACAGAGGCCCTGGCAGCCAGCAGCCCCACCTCGTCTGACTCCGGACCACACAGGCTGCACCCCGAGAGCACACCGGGGGGGCTGCGGCCTGTGCAGGAGGCCCGTGGGGGCGGCCTGGCTGCCTGGGCTCTGCGTCCCTCTGGATGTAGGACACGCAGTTCTCTGCAGGAGATGGTAACCTGACAGCTCATGGGATGCCTCGCCCGCCGGGGCAGCAGCAATTTATGGCTCCGGGGAAACTTCCCGCAAAAGCTACAATAACATTCTAAAGTATGATGTGAAGTCCTGATGTAGAGCAGTGTTTTCATTCTCGTGGACATGAGACGGCTGGTCTCTGAGGAGCTCTGTGGGTCCAGTAGCTGAAGCGCACATCTCAGGGTGGAAGGCCACCCCTGCCTCGCTGGGGCTTGGCTGCCCTATGGACTTGGCACCCTTTTCTCTTCAGAAATCTGGCTTTCTCCCGTGACAGTCTTCTCCTGCCCCTTTCCGTTAGCTGCGCAGTTTTCCTTTCTGCCCACGCATGTGCACGGAAAACCAGTTCCACTTTCTGATGTCTTCTGGGACACACGGTCCCTGGGGCCTGCTGCGCTTCCCTCCTGTTGCGTCTCACAGGCATGCACACACGCTCACACACACACCCTTTTGCTGGACGCCCCCACCCCCCTGCCCTGCTGTCCACCGGCTTTGGGCGTGGGGCTTCCCCTTTTCCTGGACGGGCAGCTGCCCTGGGTCTCATCATGGGCATGGTGCTGTGGCACGCAGGTGGGCAGAGTACGGGGGGGGGGGAACAAATTGGAGGGACATTAGAACCGCAGGTGGGGGCCAGCGGCCGCCTGAAGGTGAGATGCAGTCATGGCCTTTGACAGGGGCTGGGATCTGGGTCGGGGACACAGCTGGGCCTCAGCAGGGTCCCCAGGGAGCCCAGACTTTACGTGAGGCTGGGGCTTTACTTGCCCTCCTTGGGGTGCGGCCTCATGCACACTCACCCGGAGAGATGAAGGTGCATGGCTGCGTGGGGTGTGTCTGTGTGATTGGGTGGGCTCTTAAAACCCTGCTGCTACCTGCCTACGACCCTCTGACTTCAGGTCTTCCCTGTAAATGTCAGAAGGGACTTGGTGAGGCGCCATTACTGACCTTTCTGGAGTGAAATGTTATTTTAGCAGAAGGGAACTTGGTATGTAGTCAGTGTCAGAAGCTCCACTAATCTGCAGCGAAGGACAGTTGTTGATTCACAAGGGGACGGGTGCTCAGTGCCGAATGCTTCCTCGGTGACGTGTGCTGGGGGAGGGGACGTGACTCGGCAGCAGGTCAACGTGCCTCCACTGTGAGCTCTCCAGGCCTGCTGGTGAGAAAAGTAAAGTGCCTTGACTTTCCTTTGCCAGCTGGTTCTCTTCTGTTTTGAAAACTCACACGATACCTGCCTTGAAGTAATCATGGCCGGGACGTTTTGTTCTACTTTCCTTGCTGTTTATGTTTTCCCACTTGCTAATCTGCTCCGCTCTCCATGTTTCACTTCTGAAATGCGCCTTGGGGCTGGGAGGTCGGCGCTAATATTAAATAACTTCACTCAAATTGGACTTTCTGCGGCAGCTGCTCTGGGGCTGCCCCCCACCCCCAGCCCAGTGATGGGTCGAGTGTCATCTCTTGGGTCTTAATCTTCGGTCCGTCCCAAGAACTGAAAGGGAGAAATAGATCGTAATTGTGAAAATATTTGTGGGAATAGCCATTCATTCCCTTTCATGTCTCACTTACTTGCCTTTATGAAGTTTTCTTGACTCAAAGTGTCTATCTTTCAAATATTTAGAATGGGCGTTCCCCAGCCTGGGGGCAGCTCCACGCTGGGGGCGCATTCCCAGGGTGTAGAGGCTGTGGCGTGGTGTGAATGGTGGGCGAGTCTCCGTGGCCAGTGCTGCTTCAGACTAGGTGATCTTCTCAGTGAGTAGAGTTTAAAGCTCTGTTCCGTACACGGAATTCGCTTCTGTCAGTACAGGTGAGAACGCACGCATCATTCTCCATCCTGCCACGCAGTTTGTCCCAATCCAGCCACCCCTTGCCTGTGTCCAATCACAGGATTAAGGAGAAGTTCTCCAAGAGCTAGAAGAGCGTGGCAGTCTCACTGCAGAAGCGAACCGTGTGCCATGTGCCACGGGCGGCAGTCAGTTGGACCGCTGAGAGCTGGAAGGGGCGGCCGTGACCCCTGGCTGGCGGCCTGGCATGTTCTGCGGGCAGCTGGCACCCCTGACCCGTGGGTGACCAACATGCCCCAGAAGGCCTGTGTGGCAGGTGTGGCTCCGCCTGCCGAGAGTGTACCGAGGGGGCCAGGAGGGCAGGTGAGCTCTGCTTCCGTCACCCCCTGGGCAGGATGCCCTGCTGATGGGGGCCGCTGCCTGGCTTTACCGTATCTGTTTTAATGAAATTCTGGACCCAAGTAATCAAGTGCTGTGTCTTTACATGGATGGTGTTTGGTAATAGCTGTTCAGTGGTTACTTTTCATCTGTTTCCTCAGAAAAGGTGCCGATTCTCCCCATGGAGAAGCCCTGAGTTTGGGAACTCACTTATTCTTCCTGGATGCCTGGTGGGTTCCCATTGGTTTGGACTTACCGTGGGAGCTCAGAATCTTAGGAAATGAGCAGTTTTGTGTCCGGGGCAGGGCACTTGGCCTCTCTGGGCAGGTCTGAGTCTTGGATGCCTCAGACCCCGGCAGGGCCGTTGGCAGCTGTGGCCTGACCGCCCCTTCACGGATCCCCCTCCTCCTCTGTCTCTCTCCTTCTAGCACACTTGCAATGGGCCATTGATCCTGTAAATGGTATTTTTTGAAAGATTAACTACAAAATACATAGGAAAGGCCACACATTTTTAAACTCCACCATGTTCTGTTTTTTTATATTTTTATGAGAATGTTACTATCTTCTAATTTACCAACTGTAATGAGGTCTGTTTCTGCGTTTTAGCTCCTAGCCAAAAAGCACAGATATTTTAGTCTATTGGTAGAAATTTAAGAATAAAAAAGCAAGAAACTGCCTTATAAATTGAATCTTTGAAACCTCTACAGAGCAGATGTGGTAAAAATGGTATTAAGTAAGATCCTACTAATTTAATCTTTGAAAATAATTGGGTCACACCCTAGGTTAAAATATATCTCTGCATTATCTTTTGAAAGCAGGCTTGTCAATTTTGATACAACAGTGCCGTGAAGGGAATTTACCTATTCAGGGAAGGTATTTTTAAGAAGTAGCTTGTTTATTGTGTTAATGATATACCATGATTTTGTATTGATTGTGTAATGTTATGCTTTTCTTATTTTCTCAGTCTTAAAATCAAGATCTTGACCAGAAAAACACTTTCAAAATCTTGCTTAATTTTTTTCCTTGAGTGACTGTATTTGCTTTTAAGACAATGAATGCTGTTTACTGGAAATGGGTTAAAAATCAGTTGTTAATTCAGATTGATCTGATTTGGGCCTTTTCCAGTGACTGAGGTTAAGTAATCGTGGGTTTTGTAAAGCCTTGTGCTCCACCACCAGTATCTTATCATGTGGGCAAAATTGGTTTGTCATGTTTTAACCTCCTTGAAACAGTTCTTAACTTTTAGATTTTGAGCATGATTAATGAAGTCTTGAAATTATTGCAACATGCTGTGGGAGGGAACTGGGTTAGCAAGGCGATACAGCCAAATAACTTGGTTGGAGGGAAAGGGAGTGATTTGGGGGTGTCAGAGGATGTGCATATTATTACGGGCTAAAAAGGAAAGAAGGGCCCATGGGGACCAGCCCTGCAAAAACTCAGACCGACCTGGGAGGGTAAACAGAAGGTTCTGGGCTTGAAAGAATTAATATCAAAAGAATTCACTAAGTGGGGGTAAAAAAACCAAACCCTTGTGCATAAGAAACAGGAGGAATTTTCAAAACTGTCATATTTTATTAAATGCCCCAGAAATTCTTATTTTCATATGTCAAATTTAGCCACAAAACCAAGAATAAGCCAACTCACGGGTCATGAGTTTTCGGAAAGGGTAAAACACAACACTGCATTTTCATTCTCTTTTAAAATACTTTGTGGCTTTATAGGAAATGCAGTTGACTTGATGCACATAGACACCTTGATAATAATGGAAAATACATGTGTTTAAACTGAAGTCAGAACAGTTTTGTTTGTAATCATTTGTAAGCATTTCATGCAATGCAAAAAGGGATCCTTTGAAGAATCTTGTGGTGAAGAGGCAGGCAGAGGGGTCCCATCATACAGATGGCAAGACTGGTTTTCAGTCCAAGTACTGGATGCTGGAGCTAAGACCAAAATCTTTTGGTTCCTAGGTCAAAGTTCTTTCCCTATTAAGGGGCATCATCAGAGCAGTCACTAAAATGAGAAGGTAGAAGGCAAGATTCCTAGCAGCTCGCTTCGCTAAGCTGGAGCAGAGATGCCTACATCTGCAGTCACGTTTGAAAATGGGATCCCTAAGCTTGCACCCTCTTGCTGGTTTACATTCTTTCCTTGGACTCTTTAACATTTTGTGTTTCCTGACTGACTCATGAAACTATCTAGTGAGCACCTACTGTATGCCCTCTGTGCTGGGTGCTGGGGCCCAGGGAGTGCCATGAAACCCATTGTAATAGGTGGTTTCATTTAATACATTTTATAAGGAAAAAAATAAAGAAAAAAATTATTTTCTTAATTGGCAATGTCTCCCAAGGTTCAATGTGACAAATATCTTGCATGCTTTTTACATTATTAATTGGCATTGTTATTGTCAGGGGATTTCTTTTGCATTTTTCATATTTACTGTTAGCACAGACCAAAAAAAGAAAAAAATTCATGACCCAGATTGTGGCACTTCCTGGCTTTTATGTGTCCTGATCTTGCTCAGGATGCACGCACTTCCAGGACCCCGTGACACACCCACATACATTTTCAAGTTCAGATTAATCACATCCTCACTTGTGGTAATATGAAAACACTCCAAGGGCTTTTTAGTACTTGTGAGCTAATTGGTATTTCTGAAATTTGCTGATAAGGTAGATTACACCTCTGAAATCTCAGGGCTTTTGGTGTGGAGGTAGTGAAAATGAAGTGAAGTATCCTTCT